AAAGCCAGGCGGAGGAAAAGACGAGCGGTTTGAGGAATTGGGGGAGGGGAGCAAAGGGGGAGGGCTTTCTTTGTGGTAGGTACTCTGCAGCTGGAGCAGAAGAAGGGCTTCCAAAACGCCGCGCTGCGCCGCGCCGATGATGATGTCTGGAGTCTCACCGCGTCGTTTCTCTTTGCCTTTGACCACGATGACCTTCTCGGAGGAAGGACTCCATTTTCAAGATGGAGAAGTCTCCCTGTACGACCCGGATCTGTGATTTATGAAAAGATGAAAAGTGGCGCCATGTCTACCCCCCCCCTCTCATTGACCCCCCCCCCCTCCTTTTTTTTTTTTTTTCTCTTCCTTTTTCTCCTATGCCCCAGCCTCTCTCCTGTTTCTTTATTGCGCTGGCCTGGCCCGGTGCCCAAAGCCAGAGGGGTGGGGTGAGCGGATGGCGGTGGGAGGGATTTATGAGACAGGATGGGGCGGGGCTGAGCACAAACGGGGCGGGTGGAGTCCTGGCTTGTGTAGCAGCTGACCGAAACAGTCATGATATTATGTAAAGGCAGTCGGTGGCGATGGGCGCCAAGGGGGATGGCGGTGCCAGCTCCTGACGTGCGCCACAAGGTCGCCCCTGATTGGCTCCGTGGCACCGTTCTCGCTGCCCCCCCCCCCCACCTTGTGTGTTTCTCTCGCCAGCAAATGGAGGCGACCACTCGGCTCCCGTCACTGCATCACAAATTCATTCGTGACAAAGTCGTAACAGGGAAGGCTTTGTTGTATCATCGTTGCCCCCCCCCCCCTCCACCCCCACGTCGTGTTGCAGGGGATCAGGCTGATGTGCGAAGGAGGAACCAACAAGAGCCATCGCACGTGGAAGGAACGTGCGCTGTCTGTCAATCAAAGCTCCTCCTTTCATGACAGAGGCGACATTTTGGGTCTTGTTAAATGTCGGGGTCAGTCCCATCTTTTTTTTTTTTTTTGTTTTGAGCTCTCATCTTGCCCCCCCCCGGTCATGGGATGCGGCCACGGGGCTGGGAAATGCTGCGCTTTCTCAAAAAAGCCTTTCACTTCATCAAACCCATTTGAAGATCACACAGAGACCGACTCGGTGGCGGTTGTTCGTCTTCTCCGTTCTTTTGACATTGACGGCGCGGGAAAACGCGCATTGAAGCCGTTCCTCGGATGGCAACATCCTGAGCAAATGTAGCACGTCTTGGTCACGGGGCTGCTTTCGGACAACATGCTCAGCAGAAGACTTGTTTGGCCACCATCATCAAGAAATATCTGAGCCTGGATGTCTGCTCTGCCGCGTTCGCGGCCGTCTATTATTTGTTTTTCATAAAGAAACCTTTGCGTGCAGGGTGGACGCTACCCACCGGCTGCGTCGGAGCTACGGAGGCGGCACGCCTCTCTATTTCTCCAGTGATGCCTGCGTGATGATGAATCCTGTTAGGCGCTGTTGTGAAACAAAATCCGGGATATGGCCGCTTGGGTCTCCGACTGTCAAGTTGTGAGTAACAGACTCCGTTTGTTTTGGTCGACAAAGCTACACGTGACGCGCCATGGCATTTCTGATTGCGCCGGCATTCTGTCGTGCCGCTCTGTCCACGGTGGGAACTGAGTTCCGAGTTGGGTCGATTTGTTGGCGCAGTCCAACTTACACCACGAGTTCATTCGATACTCGTGTAGCAACTCCGACAAAGGTTTGGCTTGACTTCTGAAAGCGTGCTCGCTGTAAACGCCCCCTCGCCGACTGAGCGACTTGGTCAACGTGTGTCAGGCCTTGAGAATGTGAATCCATTTATTCATCCTAGTGGTGGCACCCCCCCCGCCCCCCACACACACACACCCCCCTACCTTCTCACTCTGCCCACCTCCAGCCTCTTCGCCTTGCGGGCTGTGTCAAATGTCATTTTTAATCTCACTCAGAAAGGGATGGCGGGCCGCAAATGGGCCCCGGGCCGTAGTTTGCCGACCGCGAGCCAGTGATTTCACCGAATAGGTGGTTTGACCTCGTTGCCTTGATGTCAGGTTTGGGGCACGCCGCGATCAGGCGTTATTCTCGGCCACGCCGACCGCCGACGTCTCCGGCCGGACACGCGAGCGGACGTCATTCCTGTGACTGGCCTCGATTGAACTTGTTTCCAGTATGATTTGAGCCCTTCTTAAATCAACGAATGCGGGATCTCGCCGGCCGCCGTGCCGCGTTTTGTGCACATGAGAGCATCACAAGGAAAGGGCATTTTCCCTCGCCACGGAAATCCCGATATTCATCACTGTCGAGTTCAGAGTTCCCGGTTATTATTAGCACGCTCTATTTAACCCACTTCTGTCTGAACGATCAGCCGCTCCTATTTTCTGATGATCCGCGTTGCCGTGATTTTCTCTTTTTTTTTTTTCTTTTTTTCAATACTGCAAATAGAACGCTTATACGTCAGTCACGGTTTGACACTCGTTTTCCCGAGTCGGCCGTTGACTTAAAATGAGTAATCTCTCGCTGTTCAAACGGGCGGCTAATTGTACCTCTGTTTCGGGGGATTGTCTTCGTCGGCGCGTTCGTCCGCGTTTGGTGCGCGTGGCTGTGAATTGAGAAGAACCGCCAGCGCGTTCGCGCAGGGAATTATGTCACCGAGCGCGCGAGCGTGACTCACGGGTGCATTTTGAAGAATTTGAAGGGTTTGACTTTCGTGTCCGGCGGCAAATGACCCCGCGCGAGGGGAACGTCGGCCCACGTCGGTGTTTCGGCGGCGGCCGATTGACGTCGTTTTCCAACATTCCCCTTGCGTCTTTTCCCCAGGATGGAGCAGATGTCCGAGGAGGCGCTAAGGTTGAACTTGTTGAAGCGAGGCCTGGAGTCGCCCAACGAGCGCGAGGAGGCCTTGGCCAAGCGCCTGAAAATGGAGGGCCACGAGGCCATGGAGCGCCTCAAGATGTTGGCGCTGCTAAAACGCAAAGATCTGGCGGCCCTGGACGTCGCCGGGCCCCTGGGCGACGGCAAGGGCCCCGGCCCCGGCCCCGGCGCGCTCCACCATCAGAGCCTCATGGGCGCCGCCTACGAGGAGAAGCTAAATGGGACTCTGAGACTCGGCGGGCACGGCGGCCCCAGTAAGAACGGCAAGGAGAACGTCCTGGACGAGCCGGTGGACATGAGTGCCGGACGCAGATGGTGAGCTTCTCGTTGGAATGGGCTTCCTCGGACGGCAAAGCTCCGCGTGTGACCAATTTCCGTTTCGAAGGCACCGTTGACACAACTCTCTTTGATTTTTAAAAGTGTGTGAAGATGAGATGCAATGGCCAGGACCGTTGTTTCTCAGAGACGCATTAGCCGCTTCGGTGCTCCGTCCAGTCCTCAGGACATTGTTTTCCATGTCCAAATGACGTTCATCTCATCACGTTTCATTTTTTTAAAATTGTTCTCACCAATAAAGATGATTTCACAGCCCGCATCTGTGAAAGCAAAGTTTTCCTTGAATGTCACTCGTCACTTTGTCTTTGAATTCCCCGTCATTCAGTGACGCAGACCGCGAGAGACGAACTCCATCCCCGGACGTCATCATCCTGTCAGACAACGAGGCATCCAGTCCCCGAGCGACACCTCGCCCCGAAGAGCGCCGGAACCATGCGAACCTGGACATGTTCAAGGTAGCGCGGCAGCCGCTTGGCATGGTCCGCACGGCGCTCGAAATCGTAAATCAGCCGCGGTTTTGGAAAAAGACACGAGCGCTTCTGTTCACGGTACCAAATGATGGACACGTGGTGTGCGTGTTTGCAGGGCAAGACCGGAGAAGAGAGGCAGAAGATGATCAAAGCTCTGCGCGAGGAGCTGCGTTTGGAGGAGGCTCGCCTGGTGCTGCTCAAGAAGCTCCGACAGAGTCAAATGCAGAAGGAGAACGTGGTGCAGAAGGTCAGTCGGTTTTGGGCGGCCGGGGGGGGGGGGGGATCTTTCCCCAAAGGAAACGCTGCCGCCTTCCATTTCAGGACGGCGCCTATTTCTTTTGTGAGCGCACACGAGTCTGCCGGGGAAAGGTGGTCGTTCACGCTCTCTTCAAAGTTGTCTGCGGATGTCTTGTGATATGAAGCTGTTTGTTGTGAGGTGAACATTTGCCGCAGCATTTGAAGAAAAATACAATCCTCTTCCCAAATTAGCCGATTGGCTTTTTAATGGACTGTGCGTATTGTTTGGCGAGTCACTGGGAGGGAAAAAAAAAAAAAAAAAAAGCCCCTCATGTTCTCTTCTTCTGGTGCTCTTTCTGTCACGCCACAAGATGGCGCCAAATCCCCGGGCAATCGGAAGCAGTGATTTGCGTCGCCTCAGTGTTGTCATTGTGTGTGAGTGTGTGTGTGTGTGGGGGCGGGGGGGGCAGCTGGAGTGAGAGGCCAAGGGCTCTTCGTGTATTGGGGAAGAGAGAAGTTTGGCCCCGGCTGGCTGGCTCAAATGACCTCCAAAGACGTTCATTGCAGAGGCTAATGTTGGATGACCCTTTTTTTATATCTGAAAGGTGTAAATGGTTGATGTTTCTCCCCCCACACCCCCACCCTTCTCCCTCGATTGATTGACTGATTGAATGGGTGGTGCGATTGAAGAGGTTTTAACATCATGATGGTGTCTACTTGCAGGTATCGGTGGTCCAGAATGCCGCCTCTTCCGGGCAGCCGCCCTCCATCCACAGCTCCCCTGGACTGGGGAAGCTTCCGGTGCGGTCGGGCGTGCACAACCCAGAGCCGCAGAATCTGCGGACGGCACAGGTTAGCGCACATGAGTGCCATGCCCGCGTGTTTCCAAACCGAAACGCTACGCAAATGTTTGTCGGGGCAGACCGCCAGTTGACCAGACTTGAAATGCTCAGAATGGCGTGGCGACCGTTTGGCTCGGGGTCACTTGCGGTTGCTCGCCGCCAGTGGTCCAACGGGCAGCTGTGGAAGGAGCGATCCTCGTTTGACTTTCTGCACGAGGAGGCCATTCCACTTGTATCTCGAGGCTGTTGAGAAATAAGCTTGCAGTCACGCAATTCTCGCCTCGGGTTCGTAGCTGACAAAATACAAAGCTGCCCGTGCGGACAAATAATGGGTTGAATTTTGTTGGACTCGCGTCTGTTCAAGGTCGTCTTCCCCCCTCGCAAGCGTTTAAGTTACGGTTTCATACCTGCACTGTTCTGGCACATTTCAAAACATGTTGAGCTTGCGCCGACCTTTTTGAAGCCGAGAGCCGCTTCTTGGCTACCGATTCACGCGAAGGGCTAGCTAGCTAGCTAGCGGTTTGGCTCGGATTTCTGGAAGAGCACATTTGCTCAAAGAAACTTTCTTTGTTATTATTGCTCATGTCGATGTGAAGATCATTTGAGTGACTTGTCATATCTATATGTGTGTATATATAAGAAAGAAACTGGTTGCGAATGACTTTTCTCTCAGTGGGCTGTAGGATTTATACTGTACTGTGCGGTTTTAATCGACTTTGAGATTTCATTAGATTGTATATCGCGTATCTGTGCCTCCAGTTATCAATGGGGCCTTGGAACAACATTGATGGCCAAGATTCCCCCCCCCCCATGAACTAATTACTGCTTTGATTTTATTAGTACTTGATTCGCTTGGATTAAAGCCCCCCCCCTTTTTTTTTTCTCTCTCCCTCTCCTTCTGCAGGGTCACACAGTCATCAGGTCAGGAGCCAACGCCAGCCTGCCACCCATGCTCATGTCCCAGCGGGTGATCGCACCCAATCCCGCCACATTGCAAGGACAGCGGCTCTCCAAACCTGGGATGGGTCGCTCCAGCATGGGCAACGCCGTAAGCTACCAGCAGGTAACGCAAACCCGGGAAAAAAAAGCGTTTCTTCAAGCGTAGTCCCAGTAAGGAATGAACTCAAGCAATCGGCTCCGTTTGAGTCTATTATCACTGTCAACACTGTCAAAGTGAAAACTTTTCTTTTTTCTCTTTGGCGCTCTTTTTGTTGCAGAAGGGAGTCATGCCCTTTCAACTTTTTACAATCTAAGTGGGGTTGGGCCTGGGAACCGTAATTGCTCAGCCTCGTTAAAGCAAGCGATGAATCCGCTGAGCTGTGAAATCTCATCACTTTCACTGTCGAGACCAAGCGGAGGATCGGGTTCTTTCTTTGGCAGCGCGAAGATCGCGACTCTCAATGTAACAATCAAGCGCTTTGCTTTGGGCGCGGTAAATGAGTGCAATTATCCAGCCATTGTATTCCGCTAATCATTTTCTGATTTGCATGCAGATGTGTCACAAGTACTCGCGCTACGTACTGAAGTGCAAGTACAGATGGAAAAACAAGAGTCGGCGGACTCCTTTGCCCAAATGTACAAAAGTAAATGTGACTTTTTAAACGTCTCCGCACGCAAAAAGGTGCTCTTACCGAGAGGGAAAAAAGGATTTTCAGGCTTTGATGCCATCCAAATGTGACACCGTGGCTTTGCGAATGCAAACAAACCAAAAAAGCGCAATTAGCCGGACGTGTTTGTTCACTTTTTGAAGCTCAGAAGCTTGTGGTTTTGGGGTCAGTGCAGGACACGCCACATTTGCCTCAAAGCATGAAACAACTCCTACCTTAGCCGGATCGGGAATATCTTGCTTCTCTGAATCTGTTTTGTTGTTGTTGTTCGGTCAACATCTCCATGCGGTCGACTTGACCTTTTTCACAAAGTTTCAAAAAGTAACACGCCCCATTGTGTCCAAGGAACGACTGCGAAGTGCAGGAAGTAGCAAACAAGCAAGACAAATGCACCCAAGTGTACTTGGACACTCCCCGCCACTGTTTGCAGGTCGCCGTGTTGTGACAAAATGCTCAGGACTGATGGGAATGTTTGTGTTTTTGCACAGGCCAGCCAGCAGGTGGCAGCATCGCAGCGATCAGGCTCCAGCGCCATGTACATGAACCTTGCCCACATGCAAGCTGCGGCGGCGGCGGCTGGGGCGGGCGGCGGCGGTGGCGGCGGCGGAGGAGGCGGGGTGGGAGGGAGAGGGCCAGCAGCCAGGCTGCTGCCAAGCTGGCCCTGAGGAAGCAGCTGGAGAAAACGCTGCTGGAGATCCCCCCGCCCAAGCCCCCCGCCCCGCTCCTCCACTTCCTGCCGTCGGCCGCCAACAGCGAGTTCATCTACATGGTGGGCCTGGAGGAGGTCGTGCAGAGCGTGCTCGACAGTCAGGGTAAGCGTCCGCGTCAAGTCTCATCCACCGCGGCCCTGAGTGGAATTGTTGTGTGTGGGGGGGGGGAGCCTGGCTTTTCGCGAGGTCGCGCAGCGTCCCGATACCCGTCAACGGGACGGGTATCGGGAGCGAGTCCGCAAGTCGGCGTTTTTGTACCCTCCTCTCCTCTCCGCTCGGCAGGCAAACTGCGGGGAACGCTTTCCCGCACGGAGCCCTTCTTCTGTGCCCAATGCAGAACGGATTTCACCCCCCACTGGAAGCAGGAGAAGAGCGGGCGAATCCTGTGCGAGCAGTGCATGATGTCCAATCAGAAAAAGGCTCTCAAGGCGGAGCACACCAACAGGCTGAAGAACGCCTTCGTCAAGGCTCTACAACAGGAGCAGGTCAGCATCCGAGCGGTTGCGTAAGACTCTGGGGGGGGGGTTGCGCGTGTCCGACATGTTTCGGACCCCGAACAAAACAGTTTGGCGCTTTGGGGGAACTGGGACTCATTTGAGCGCCGCCGGTCTGGGCGTGGCCTATAAAAAAACATGACCGCTTCCCTTTCAGGAGATCGAACAGAGGCTGCAGCAGGCGGCCCTCTCGCCTGGCTCCGCCCCCAGCGGCCCCAACGCCTCCAAGACTGACTCGCTGATCCGACACCACGCTCTGCGCCAGGTACGCGGCCTCCGAATACCCACGCGACGCGCGGCAAATGACGCTCGCGGGTACTGACCTCGCGGCTCAAAATGCGCCACCGCCTCCTTTCCGAAAAGCTTATTGGGAGGGGGGGCAAAATGGAAAAAGGCCACTTTGCACATGCGAGTGAGCCATCTCAACTCCGGATCCGAATACGCGAGTGTCGATGAGCTCCTTGGGACTGCTTCATGAAGCAATTTTGCCCGCTCGGCGCCACAACTTCCCCCTTCAAAGCGATGCCTTTCATCCTGTCGTCTGTGTCAACGGGGCATGCGAGCAAACGCGCAGAACAAGCTTTGCTAGTCAAAGCATCTGACACGTCAACGGAGCGGGCCGGTTTACTCCGGTTTGCGCTCACCTGAGCGAGTTGAGTCTGGTGTCAGTCGGGGTAACTCCCAGGACACGGGGGCGGGCGCTCGAATCCGCCTCCAACTCAGCTGAGCGAGTTGGAGTGCTCTTTTTCCGCCGGTGTTTGTCATGGTAAAAGCCCGGGGCCACGAAGTGGGCGGGGTTTCCTCTTGTCACTACGCACCGGAGCCACTTGGGCTTCTGATCACGCTCTTTCGGCCCCCGAGCGCTTTTGGCTGTCATCGGGTTTCGTCCGCTCCGAGCTCACCCGGGGGCCCGTCGACGTGTTGTGTCGCGACACAGCTCGCCGGTCACGTCGAGACCCGGGGGCCGGAGAGTCGGTCCTTTTGAGCCCTTTGAACTCATCCGGCCGCAATTGCGTGCCCCCCCGCTTGTTTCCCCGCTCAGGCGCA